AAAAAAATGTTAAAGCGGTATTTAACATTTCCAGTTGTGTTATTTCATTACAGAAATTAACCAGTATATCAAGTACAGTTTGGAGAACATTTTATATTTTCTGTTTTATTTTTCACATAAAGAGTGTGGATTCGGTGGTGTGTATATGTGTTTTTTCTTCTGTTCATTATCAGACGAAATCAATCAACTTATGAATTTAATTTACATATAGTATTAAATTAATTTAGTAACATTTCAGATGCATTTTACCAACAGTAAAAAAGAAGGTGAAATACTAAGAATCTCTCACAAACATCCGTTGACTATTTATGAAAGAGATATTGTGACAGTTGTGGTAGATGTCCACGTGGTGGCGCCGCAGACTGTGACACTGAGATTTCTGTATTGTAGTTTCGTGCTCCTCCCAGTTGTACAAGAGGATGTGGCTCTCCGGGCTTTTTGACAAAAACGGCAAGGACGGTGCGAAAAGACCGAGGGTGTATATATTATTTTGTACATGTACGTGTACACTATAATTTAGCGCATATCTGAAAGTGTATTTTTAGTAACTATAGAAATTGTGAAAAGGTGACCTTGTTGGGATCTGCGTTTCAATTACGTTGTGGATTTATGCATGTACCAATGAGGATGTCTATTGTTTCATATCTGGTGCTTGTGCTGCTGGAGTGTTGTTGGGAAGCGCAATCTGTGCAGCTCTCATATTCCGTGTTTGAGGAAGTGGATGTGGGGACTTCTGTGGGAAATATCGCTAAGGATTTAAATCTCAGCCTTCAGGAATTGGAATCTCGCATGTTTCAGATTATCAGCGGCTCTCAAAGAAAATATTTCGAGGTAAATCTAAAAACCGGTGCTCTCTATGTTAATGAGAGAGTAGACAGAGAGGAGCTCTGTGCGAAGACCCTAAAATGCACAGTCAATGTAGAAGCTGTGATAAACAATCCCTTAAAGCTCTATCGCGTAGAAATAAATATTCTAGATGTCAACGACAACGACCCGTTATTCACGGAAAGGTCTCAGATTATAGACATAGCAGAGAATACTCTGCCTGGGATGAAATTCGCTTTGTCTGAGCCTATTGATGCAGATGTGGGGGAGAATATGGTTAACGCTTTTAAGCTGACGCCGAATGAATATTTTTCTCTCGCTACAATCAAAGGCGGAGAAAGCGTCTATGCCGAACTAGTCTTACAGAAAATGCTGGACAGAGAGAAGCAGCCTGTGATAAATCTCACAGTGATTGCTGCAGATGGAGGGACTCCATCCAGATCTGGCACGTCACTAGTTATTATACATGTTTTAGATATAAACGATAACCCACCAGTGTTTAGTAACCCCTTGTACAAAACTCGTTTATTCGAGAATACACCAATCGGGACAAATGTGATTACGCTAAATGCAACAGACGCAGATCAGGGAACAAACGGTGAGATAATGTATTCTTTGAGAAGTAAAGGGCAGGATCGTATATTAGAGATGTTTCACATTGATCCTGTAATGGGGGTGATCACAGTCAAAGCTAATGTTGATTTTGAGGAATATACAGCGTTTGAGATCCGCGCAGAAGCTAACGATAAGGGCCAGCCACCGATGTCTGCTCACTGTAAGGTGCTGGTTGAAGTAATAGACGTAAATGACAACGCTCCGGCGATAACAGTGACGTCACTCCTCAGCAGCGTAAAGGAGGACGCAGGTGTAGGTACTGCGATAGCACTTGTTTCCGTACTCGACCGCGATGGAGGTAAGAATGGTGAAATTAAATGTAAAATAAAAAATGATGTTCCCTTTAAACTAGAAACCAACTACAAAAACTATTATTCTTTAGTCGTTGACGGGGCCCTTGACAGAGAAATTACCTCCCAATACAACGTTACAGTTTCAGCGACCGATGAAGGGAG